AAACCTAACCCTAACCCAACCTCAACCCTAACCCCAACCCCAACCCTAACCCTAACCCCAACCCTAACCCTAATCCTAACCCTAACCCCAACCCCAACCCTAACCCCAACCCCAACCCTAATCCTAACCCTAACCCCACCCCTAACCGTAACCCTACCCTAACCGTAACCCCAACCCTAACCCTAACCCCTAACCCTAATCCTAACCCTAACCCCTTCCCTCCATCAGCCTCTGCCGCGTCGGCCCTGCCCGGGCACCCCCCACAGCACCTCGGCCTCCTATTTGCCGTCTACGGCTTCATTGCAGCAAGACCCCGGGGGTCCCTGTCCTCTTGCTGGGGTGGCAGCTTCGAGATCTGGGGCCGCTGTCCTCCTGCCGCTGCCCCGGGGCCCGCCGCACTGCGGGGCTCCCGGAGGAAGGGGCTCGACCCCCTCCCGGCGCAAACGAGGTGGCTGTCCCCGCGCCGGGTCCCCCGAGGGCCACCGCCGGGCGCGGACGTACCTGGCTGTCCAGTCCCAGCAGGAGGAGCATAATGAAGAACAGAATGGACCAAAACGTGGGCAGCGGCATCATCGTCACGGCCTTGGGGTAGGCGATGAAGGCCAAGCCGGGCCCTGGAGGGAGAGAGGACGGGGAGGGGACACAGGGAGGGAGACGTCAGTGGCCGAGCCGCCGGGACTCGGGGGCTCCCACACGGACACCCGGACGCGGGACGGAGCCCGGGGCTCGGTTCTGCCGGACACTCCCCCCAACACCCCGAGCCGGACTCGCTGCCCCGACGGCGCCGGCCGCGAGGAAGCGACGGGGCGAGTGGCGCTTCTCTGAGCGCGGACGCCCTGCTTAGTGCAGGAAGGTTCTCCGGTCCCGAGTTAACGGCTCAAACCCTGCACGAGCGGAGGGGACGAGGCCCCGGAACCACGCCCGGGAGGCGACGTCTGTCCGGGCTTCGGACGCCCACGGCGGGTCGACACCGCGTCGCTAGAAAAGGGCTTGGGGTTTCCAAAGCGGGGGCTCGGCCGGTGCGGGCAGGGGGTGCCTTGCCCGCGGGGGTCGCTCTGGGGACAGGGACAAACGCCGCCCCCGTCTCCAGCGGCTCTGAGAGCAGCGCCGGGGCGGGAGGAACTCAGTCGGTCACTGCGGCCGGCGGGTCTGTGACGCCGTCGGGGGGGGAGGGCCGTGAAGGAAAACAGCCCGAAAGGGCCCGGGCTAAAAAAATAAAATAAAGTAAAATCTACAACTAAGACAAAAAAATAAAGAAAGAAAAGTCGAGAAGGAAAAACAAGACAGGCCCGGAGAAGAGCAGCAGACGCGGAAGATTTGTTTTTTAAGAGCAAGTCTCGGAAACCAGACGTGCGGTTCAGGAATGAGAACACGGACTTCGCCGGCGGCCGGGAACCCGAAACCGCGTCATTCCGCGTGGATAAGCCCCCCCCGAGTGGCAGGGCGGGGTCTTCCCACGACCCAGAGTCCGCCGGCCCCGAGCTGCTCAGAGGGACGAGGTCGGCTCGAAATAATGTTCCCTCCTCCCCCAGGACTTAGGAACCAAAGCCAAAGTCGGAATCGAGAGCCGTGGCGTTTGCGCTAGTCTGGGGCCCCCGCCGGTCCCCACGGTGTGCCCGCTTTGGCCCCGACCGGCGTCACCAAGAGCCGACGTCAAAAGAGGGGGCCCCTCCGGCCCCCTCCGCCCGCCAGGATTCGCAACACACTCGTTTCTGCATTTCCGCTTTGCCGTTTCCGCGAGGGGGTCTGAGCACCTTTCTCTAAAAGCAGCGCACGGTGGGCCGGGCGCGGTGGCTCGCGCCTGTCATCCCAGCACTCTGGGAGGCCGAGGCGGGAGGATCGTTCGAGGTCAGGAGTTCAAGACCAGCCTGAGCAAGAGCGAGACCCCGTCTCTACTAAAAAT